TGGTATACATTTTAGATTCTTCATTTTTATATAATTCTCTATATAATAAGCAAGATTTACAGCTAAACTCTTTTTAATAAGAATGTTATATTTATAGATTGTCAAATTACAAGGTTTATTTTAAGTAAATAATTTTGTCAACATTTTAATTCTTGAAAAATAAAATAATTGTACCTTCTTATTCATAATTTATTTGAATGTAGTTATGTTTAACAAAGATTGAGTTATAATACTATCTGTTGCCTATATCTTTAATTAGCTTTCTAGTTTTAAGACTAAATATCTTGACTATAGAATCATACCTTACCATTAAATAGCCTAGATTTTCATTTAGAATTGCTTAGTGAGGATAAATTTCCAAATCAGTTTCTTCAATTAAATCAATCGATTCAAATTTTAAGCTTTATTTATCAAAATAAACAATTTTACTCCATGTTGCTTAATCATAGATATATTGCTTTTCATGAAATTAATTGAACATTATACAAAAAGAAGATTCATCTTAAAATTCAAATCCAGATTTTATTCTGAAATCTGCCCAGTTTAACTTACGATTACCATTTAGATAAACAAAATCACCATCATTTTCTATTAGAATATCTTCAGAATTAATTTCAGTGACTATTTCATAATCATCTTTTTTAACTTCTTATGTTTATTTTAGATTTTTATTAATAAATATTTCATCTAATTAATCGGGGAAATCACCACAACTCTCATAAAATTCTTTTGATATCTCTTTTATAACTCCAGTTAATAAGTCTTTGACCATTATCTTACCAACTTACTTTGAATTATAAAATAAGTAATTTTTTTTCATATCTTAATACTCTTCTATCATTAGATATTATCCATTATTTATGACTGGGATAATTTCATAGCATTCACTGAGGTTTGCACTAAAATTGAAATAGTTGATCTGATCTCTAATATTTGGATCTAAAAAATAAATCTTATTGCCTATTGGGTCTATTTTAATCAAATGATTGAAATAATTTTCAATATTTCCAACTAGTTAAAATGTCAATGAATCAAAGATTAGAAGGTTGTAGTCAATTTTTTCATTCCCAAAAAATATTATCAACCTATTCAAGGTTGTTTCAATCGCATACATCCATTTTATATTTGTGTGATAAAGCTAAAGCTTTTTTGTTAAATTAAAACCTTCAAGATTTTCATATTCATAAATATTAAAATCTTAATCCATAGCATATTCATACAAATCTTGATATTTGAAAGAGTAATAGTATTTATCAAGCTACTTTGCTATATCAAGAGATTTTGTGTCTACAAAGATTGATTTGCCACGACTGTGAAATATTAAGTGATCTTTAAGTTGGTAGCATACAGGACTATAATGTAATTTATCAAACCGATAGAAACTTTAATATTCATCTTTAACAAATAATTTCTGATTTTAACTTGTTAATAAACTCTTATATTCCTCTAAGTCCATTTTTCTTATCTCGAAATTAATTTGAAAATCTTGATTAATTTAATTTAATGAAGTTTCACCAAGCCTAAATAAATATGTATAATCGTCATATAAGATGATAATGCTGGATTCATCTATGATTTGCACATTCCAGAATATTCTTTACCATTTGAAATCAAATTTAATCAAATATTTCTCTTACCTTTATTCAATAAAATCATCAAGTGCAATCATACAGATAAATTATCCTTCTTGATAAAAAATGTAGTCAACATCATTGAAGATTCTGTGGAATATTTTTGAATCACATTATATCCCACTTAAGTTGATAGTGTTTTTAGTTTATAAGGTGTCAAATTCAATTATATCAATAGATCTATTTTGATAATCTTTATCATAGTAATATTCAGCTAAGAGCATATTTTTATGAAATATTATTATGCTTTGAACATTGAAAGTTTTTCCTTATATTTTTTCAATTTTGAATGGAAGAGTCTTAATCCTACCTTCAACTTAGGTATAATCGATTTCTTAATAATTGTCCAATATCCATTAATACTCTGCAGGTAGTGGACTTTTTATCTAGATTGAATTAAGTTAATTTAAGGACTTGTATTCATCTTGGAGCAGCGGTTTTTATATTTCAGTGATTCTATCCGGATCCATATCTTAATTTATGAATTAATTTTTTAATATTAGATAGTAAAGTTGTGGATTTATTTATATTGATTCTATAATGAATTTAACGTAATAATATATTGAAATTTCTAATCCATGAATACATCCTATTTCTACTTCAAGGGGTTTTGGGGTTTTGGGG